CGAGGACCAACTAAATCAGATCAGAAGTTACAATTGCTTTAATCAATCCCAATCACTTCTAACACTTCTGCTAAATGAACTCATTTTTTAGCAAGACCATGGCGATGCCTGACAAATGGATGGCTCCAACCTGAAGGATATATTTTATGAACAAAATCGACCCTTCTGATCACCGGCAAAAGAAACCATCGCTTGACTACTGATCTGTAGACACTTTTGATTACCCTATGAAGTGATGATGGACTATTGCAATGTCTGTGACACCTTTGTGATCTCGCAGTCAAGACAAGAGGTTGCTTCCCAACTAATACGCCTGACAATCTCTTTAACGTTAACGGGGGCACTACATTGGTGATGGCTCCGCTGACTGTAACCCAGAAGAAACAAGAATACTGATTTTGCCGTCCAAAATAATTAGAAACTACTTGACATACATAACTAAAGAGAACGAAGCCATAGAAATCGTGCCATCCATTTGACAAGGCTCTGCTTCTCAGTCCTAATACCTTATGAGCTCCGTTGGACAAGAGGATTAAGGAGGTCTCCTTACCCATCACCAGTCATGGTGTGATTCAAACGAATGATGTTGACAAATTCGGGCGTCTCCGACAGCTTGAATACTAGTTGACTGTCCAAAGTGAGACTCATAACCTCTCTCTTCGAGGCATCACGGACGTCCAAGAGGGTTTGAGATCTACCGGAAGTGTCCAGTTTCACCAGACCCATGATGGAGAAAGCGTCAGGGAGGCCGTCTAATCGCAATAACAAAATAGTCAGTGTTAAACAGAACTAAGTTACATATCTGAAAAGTAAGGCAAATATGTAGTAACCCTCACCGGGAAAGAAGGTTTTCGCAGGTTTGGAGAGCTTATCACTAGCCATATAGGAGAAGGCCGCTCCCACGTTTTCACAAGCGCTGGCGTGTTTACGCACGCTTGAACCCACCAATTGGTCGAGTTTGAACGCATTTACAAAATCCACACCCCCTTCAAAGTACAGAAAGCAAATTACGGTCGCTATTTAAATAAGATTCCACAAAGTGGAAACAATGGAAAAGTGTTTTAAGCGTAGTTAAAGATATCCATGGAAATAAGTGACCTTTGAGCAGTTGATTAGGATTGCCGAAGCTCTTCCAAGTACTAAAAGTCATTGACTAAATCGTAAGGAACATTTCGCCTTCCAATGAGATAATCATTGCTTAAAAATACTCCACGATCTAATTGCCGATCAAACTGCGAAGCAATGATCCCTAGAAAGGGTGTTAAGTCATTAGCTGGATGTGGATCCCTAGATGTTGCTTAGAGGGGCTTTGGTGAATAATTTCCACCACAGAACCAAAATTAAACAGATCACAGGGACAATTTGTTCAGTGATCATAAAATTGTGGACCACGAGTAGTAAACGCTTTTTTCTTTAACGAGCAAGAAGTCAGAGAAACCAATGATATATTTGATCGTTCGGTATGCTACTGAAATGGATAAGTAGCATCTTTACTAAACATTTGATCTAAAAGTTCAGCAGCCTATATTAAAAGTATCAAAAATTTCGAATTAAATCTAGCTATGCAAGGAAACAGAGTGGTCAACACAAGATAGCGCAGACAAACACCTCCAACAAACTAGAAATCTAGTTGATTTTTGGCCCTCATCCTGGAAGCCTTCCATGAGCCCATCCCGAAATATCGGTTAAACATGGCGTACGCTCCATGCGAAGGGATTGATATGGTAAAAAGGATGCAATGTATTCGTCGAAATCCATATGAGGAGGGAGAGGCGTGTGAATGCATATGACCTCTCCCTAGAGACATTGATATCTCAATGTTCCCAAGACAGGTGCAAAATCTTAAGGTTCAAGGTTCCCGACTGCTATAGTTGAGATGCTCCCTGACTAACTGTAATAACAATGATATCCAACTCCTACGTCTTAAAATCAGGCAAGCGAAGGGCTCGCTGGACAGCCCCAAACAGAAGTTTACAAGGGCACTGGTTAGAAGATTTAGCTAAACAGCATGGACTAACACGTCTCCTTCCCTGCAATATTACTAACCTTCATCTTTCTAGCACCAATGAAGGCAGTTCCACTTTCAGCACTTACTTTCATCACTACTATCAGTCAAGTTACCACTAAAGAAGCTAATTAGCTCAGAATCGTTTATGCTTTCCCATTAAACAAAATACTTTCTGCTATCAG